GTAATTGCTATCACTGTAAATTTAACACCCCCTTCCCTCCCCTCCCCCACCTTTTGACTAATTCAAAGACCTTCACAGTTCTTGGTATATTACCAAAATCTTGGGAGATGACTTTCCATCAAAGCTGCTTATAAATATAAAGTGGTCTAATCTACGATCTGTAATGTGAATAATGCTATATGCAAATTTGATAAACATTTGTTTCTAAATGGGTGAAATTATAGAAGAAATAGAACTGTTTTAACAACTGTTACTTTATTTAAAAATAAATGAGGCAATAATGCTAACATTTACTGCATGCTTACTAGGTGCCAGATGCTATTCAAAGCACTTTACATTAATTTGGTCATGATCATTAATCCCATGAGTTAGATCCAATTAATAGCTCCATTTTACAGGTAAGGAAACTGAGGCAGAGGTCATATGTTAACAAATGAAAGAACCATGTTTCATATCCACTCATTCTATCTCCCAAGCTCAGACTCAAACTCTGTGCTCTTTAGGGAATAAGAGGGCAGAGAAATACACTCAGAAGACAGTCAAGATGTGGGCAGAGAAAACATGTAACCCCAAATGTCCAAATATCCAGTCAATACGTTTTCACCTCAATATGTGAAAGCGTGCAGGGAACCGAAAAAAAGTGGGTTCTAGAAATAAAACTTGATTGACTACTTAACCAGGGCAAGTGGATTTAACCTAACACGTAAACAGTACCTCTTACTTCCTTCCCAAGTACTGAAAGGGAAGTGAATTTGATGCTAAACTTGTGAGCTCCTCAGAAATTTGCCATATACGTTTTAAAGAGGTGTTTTCCGGCTTTAAGAAAATTCAATCTTCACTGTCTAGAGCAAAAAATACTTGGAAACAAACTACAGTGAAAAATATTTCATTGCAGGGGCGCCTGGGTGGCTCAGTTGGTTAAGCGACTGCCTTCGGCTCGGGTCATGATCCTGGAGTCCCGGGATCGAGCCCCACATCGGGCTCCCCGCTCAGCGGGGAGTCTGCTTCTCCCTCTGACCTCTCGTGTTCTCTCTCTCATTCTCTCTCTCTCAAATAAATAAAAATCTTTAAAAAAAAAAAAAAAGAAAAATATTTCATTGCAGGTATTTTGTAATGATGCTTCCTCAACACTCCCTTTTCATAAGGACTTTTTACTTTTTTTTTTTATTATTATGTTATGTTAGTCACCATACAAGGACTTTTTTACTTTTAAGGAAGGAGCAGAGCATTGTTCCATATTACTGAATAGGGAAGTCCTCAGCCACCCTAGCAGCCCTTCCTCTGCTCACACAACCAACATCTTCTCCCCTTTTCAGTTCTTCATAGCAAATTGGTGTAAATGGCACTTTTCAACCATTCCTGCCATTCACTACAGGTAAGAGCATGAATGTCTGTCCAACAATATCCGCTTTGAATGCTAGCTCTGCAATTCTTAGCAAGTCCTTTCACCTCTATGTCTCCCCATGTGGTCAGCAACAGTGTCGACTCCTTCACCGAGGGGCAGCAAAGGGTTAAGGAGTTAAGACATGGAAGCATTTAGAGCAGCTCCTAGCACACAACAAATGCTCTGTAAATGTTAGATTTATTCTTATAGTCTTGTAGCAAAATACTCCCAAGACGTCACCGCAAGCATCCTCAGACATGTGATAAGGAACACGTAATACTTCCATAACGAAAGGGGGAAGGAGGGAAGAAGAAAAGGAAGGGCATAGCACATCTGTCAACAAAATGTGTCCAATCTGAGGAAAATATATGCTCTTTGGGGTGTATGTCTGAACATAAGTGAGGGTACATTAAATTAATCTATCAGGAAGTTCTAAACTGAGAGGTGCGCTGATATACATTTTGGCTGGGTGCTAGATCAGCCTGAGAGTTAGGTCAGCATTCAGATAAAGCAGACATCAGAGAGCATCACCGTCATCAGATGTACTTCTCAAACGCAAACATAATTTTGAAATTATCAAAAAACTGTAATAGTATTATTGTGATAATTTTAAAGTGTGACAGGGCAGTGCAAAAACAAGAACTTCACAGCACGGTGGGCTGTTGGATGGCCATGTCCCTGCACCACGGCCCAGCTCCTGCGGTTCTAACTAGACGCTCACTGTCCACTGCAGTCAGCAGAGAAGAAGGGGGTCTGCCAGCTAGCTCTGCTAGGACCCTGCAGACTGTGAGACTGCCACCAAATCATTAAGTACTATTTTGTCTTCCAGAGTAGCCAACTGAATTATTTTGTCTAATATTATAAAAGCTAGAGTACCTCAATCAATTCCATAGATTAGACTTATGCTATAATTGACTCTATTATTCTGCCTTACATAGCCTGAATTTGTATAAATGGTTTATTGGCTCAAAAAAGATATAATTTTTCCTGAAGGTGTCTAGTTAACTCACTTTCTCAACATTCACATAAACTTTAATCTACTTCCTTAGTTACCTGTCTAAATATTCACATTGTTAACTTATTTCTTTAATTCAAAACATTTCTTAGTTGTTCTGAATAGTAAATTAACAGCTTCCATAATCATCAATCAATGCAGCATTTTACTCTTGCAATAAGAATAATGATAGCAGATATTTACATAGCATTAACTACATGCCAGGTCCTCCTGTGTGATGTGGGCGCGCGTGCGCGCGCGCGCACACACACACACACACACACACACAGCCAACCAGTCCTTATAACAATGCTAAGATGTAGGTACTATTATTATTCCCATTTTACACATGAAGAAAACTGGCACAGAGAGAATAAAAAACTTGCCCAAACTAGTATGTGGCAGAGTTGGGATGTGAACCCACATGTTGGCCGGGGGTCTGTGCTCTTAACCACTGGACACCTTGCCTCTCCGCAGCTGAAGAATGAGGAAGAGTTAAATCAGTGAAGAGTGAAGGGAGTTTGGAAGTGAGGTAGGGAAAAAAAGGCCACAGCACTTGCAGCAGCACTCTGGCATGCGTGGGGCGGGGGCAGGAGATTCTTCATTCTTCAGCTTGCGAACGCCAGATGCGGCCACGTGCTGAACCCACAGAAGGCACCTGAGCAGCGGCACTTGAGGGCTCTGAGGGGCACAGACCATGCAAGACTGTACAGGTCAGATCAAGGGGCAAGGAAAAGAACAGCAAGTCACTGGGGTCTTGCACCAGGGGTGAGGACATGACGACCAGAATGCTAGTGTGAAAGGCACGGTGCTGTGGAAATGGCTGGTCGAAGATGAGAAAGCAGGAAACCCCGTGACAGACCGGATGAGAGGACGGTGAGGAGTGGAGACGAGAGGAGATGAGAAGGTACCTAATACCAGGGCAGGGTGACAGACTGGATTTGGGGGAAGGAAGGGGGTCGAGAAGAAGGAAGTCTCAAGGATGACTCCTAGGTTTCTGATTTGTGCAACTGGATGGATGGCAACGGGCTGTTCCACAAGATGGAAACACCTGATGAGGACAGAGGTTTCTGGACTTCTCCTGGACACGTGGAGCAGGAGGAGCATCTGCGATGTCCGTGGGAGGTGTCCAGAGTAGGCAGCTGAGTACACACACACCCGGAGCCCACGCTGGCGGTGGGAGCCGGAGATAGAGTCTGGAGTCCGCACGTAAATGACGATTCAAGCTGCAGAGGTGCATGAGATCCTATAAAGGACACTAAAAAGAGGGCCTATGGCAGAGCCCTGAAGAACTCGACATTTTAAAAGACCAGAAAGACAAGGATGAGTCTCCAAAGGAGGTGCTGAGAGGCAGAAGGAAAACCAGAAGAGTACAGATATCACCGAAACCAGGGAAGGCAAGCTTAAGAAGAAATCAATAAAGCCAAATGCTCTGACAGGTCAAGAAAGATGCCGATGGAAACATCTATTAGGTGTGGAGACATGTGGTGACTGTTTCCGAAGGGCAATGGGGACAGAGCCAGACCTGCAGTGAAGTGAGGCTGAAGTGAGAGGAGAGGAAATGAAGAAAGAGTACATACAATCCTGAGAAAGGTAGCTGAATGAGAACGTGGGGCAAGAGTAGCAGATTTAAAATAGGTGACACTGAGCATGTTTAAACTGTTGATAAAGACCAAAGTGGGGAGGAAAGTGAATATACCTCAAAGGGAGGGAGCTGACAGTGTGAGGTTTCTCCACAGGAACAGGATCCAAAGCCTGAGCAAGTGGCAGGAGAGATGGCGCCTCTATCTTACCACGAGGGAAGGAGGCTCGGAGGCAAGCCGGTGCAGGCCAGTTTGTACCTTTAAGAGTGGAAAGATGATAAAGTTCCCATCTGATGGCTCCCAATTTCTGTGTGACATAGGAGGCAAAGTTGTATCCAGAAAACAAAAGAGGCTGTGTGGATATGGGAAGGAGGCAGGGGGGGAAAGTGGGGGCAGTGTCAGGGTTTTGAGGAGACACGAAGGATGGAACTGATCGTTGTAAAGAGTGGGAGAAAGAGTGAGTGCAAGAAAAGAGGAGTGCTGGGCAGTGTGGAGGGCTCGTTTCAGAATGCAGGGGATTGAGGACTTACAGGGGTTCCTGCCGGCTCTGCGGTGTGAGCGGCAGTGCTCAGCCTGAGGGTGCAGGGAGTGAGAAGGCAGACAGCTGGTGGTTGTCCAGGAGGCGGGTTTGCTAGCAAGGCACAACAAAAGATCCAAGGGCAAGGGAGTTTAAGGACTGGGCAAGGATGCTAGAAGTGGATCGGGGACCTCAGCTCCATAAAGAAAGAGGGAGGATGGACTCAGAATAAAGGGACAGAAGATGAGGGTCCTGATAAGAGGAAGACTAATTACAGTACAAGCTGCTGATGGAAAAGAGGTTGTGGGCGCTGGGTGGAATACCTAAACTTAACTCATTAATTATCATTAATAATCAGTCACTAGATTATTTGAATTATTAATGAGTTCGATTATTCATTAATATACCAAAATCAACCTTCTGTGACATAATAAAAGGTGAGCTTCCTGCTCTGTGAAGGACACTTAGAAATCGTTAGGAAAAAGACCAACAACCCATGGGGAAAATGAATAAAGTACCCACTTGGCTGGAGATTCCTCCTCCAGGGGGCCGGGGGACTCTTCCACTGCTGTGGTCTCCTCCATTGGTGCAGTCTGCTCCACGTCACTGAAAAGCAGTGAGAATCATTCTGGTCACACAAATACGTTCACATCAATGCTCTTACATATGCAAGATTAAAAAAAAATACATTTTGGGGGCGCCTGGGTGGCTTAGTTGGTTAAGCATCTGCCTTTGGCTCAGGTCATGATCCCGGAGTCCCAGGACTGAGTCCTGCATGGGGCTCCCTGCTCAGCGGGGAGTCTGCTTCTCCCTCTGACCCTCCCCCCTTCTCATGCTCTCTCTCTCAAATAAAATCTTAAAATAAAAAAAAAATACATTTCAATATCCTTTTTCCTAATACCATTCAAGTAATTATATACACAAACAGGTAATCTGCATCAAAATGAAAATGAGAAAACTGCTAATCCACTGAAATTACTTGAAAGATGTGAAAAGTACTTTTAGAAATAGAAGTTTCTACGAATGGCCTAAAATTAAAAACAGCTTCTAATAAACAAGAACAATTATTTAAAACTCTTACTGCCCTAGGAAATTCCAAGTATTACCAGAGGCCACAAAATTTCTCAACCTGTGCTTTTAGAATGTGTTCAAATTTAAGCAACCATCAACAATACAGACTGCTAAATACACAGGATGTCATATATGAACCTCATGGTAACCACAAACCAAAAACCTGTGATACACAAAAAAATAAAGAGAAAAGTATCCAAACATAATATTAAGAAAGTCATCAAATCACAAGTGAAGAAAGCAAGAGAAGAAAGGAAAAGAGAAGAAATAAAAAAAAAAAAAAACCAACCAGGAAATGATTAACAAAATGGCAGTAATGCACACCTATCAATAACTGGACTAAATGCTCCAGTAAAAGACATAAGGTGACTGAATGGATAAAAAAAAGCAAGACCTATCTGTATTCTGCCTACAAGAGACTCACTCAGACCTAAAGACATACACAGGCTGAAAATGAAGAGATGGAAAAAACATTTACCATGCAAATAGAAGCAAAAAAAAAAAAAAAAGCTGGGGTATCAATATTTATATCAGACAAAATAGACTTTAAAACAAAAACTCTAACAAGAGACAAAGAAGAGTATTATATAATGATAAAGAGATCAATCCAAGAAAAGAATATAACAATTATAAATATCTATGCACCCAACACAGGGGCACCTAAACATATAAAGTAAATGTTAACAGACATAAAGGGAGAAATCAACAGTGATACAGTAATAGTATAAGACTTTAACACCCCACTTACATTAATGGATAGATCATCCAGACAGAAAATCAATCAGTGGCTTTGAAAGACACATTAGGCCAGAGGGACTTAACAGATACAGAACAAACCATCCCCAAAGAGCAAAATATACATTCTTTTCAAGTGCACTTGAAATATTCTCCAGGATAAATCACATGTTAGGCCACAAAATAGGTCTCAATGAATTTACAAGGCTGAAATCATATCAAGCATCTTTTTCTGATCACAATATAAAGCCAGAAATCAATTACAATAATAAGACTGGAAAAAACACAAACATGTAGATGCCAAGCAACATGCTACTAAAAAACCAATGGGTCAACAAAGAAATCAAAGAGGAAATCAAAAATACCTTGAGACTAATGAAAACACAATGGTCCAGGGGCACCTGGGCGGCTCAGTCGGTTAAGCACTGCCTTCAGCTGAGGTCATGATCCCAGCCAGGGTCCAGGGGTCAGGCTGCCTGCTCAACAGGGAGCCTGTTTCTCCCTCCCCCTCTGGCCCTCCCCTGGCTTGTGCTCTCTCTCTCTCTCTCTCTCTCTCAAAGAAATAAAATCTAAAAACAACAACAGCACAACGGTCCAAAATCTTTGGGACACAGCAAAAGCAGTTCTAAGAGGGAAGTTTATAACGATTCAAGCCTATCTCAAAAAACAAGAAAAATCTGAAACAATTTAACTCTACACCTAAAGGAAATAGAAAAGAGGAACAAAGCCCAAAGTGAGTATAAGAAAAGAAATAATAAAGATCAGAGCAGAAATAAATGAAATAGAAACAAAAAGCACAATGAAAAGGTCCATGAAGCTAAGAGTTGGTTCTTTGAAAAGATAAATAAAATTGATAAACCTTTAGCCAGATCCATCAAGGGAAAAAAAATAAAAAGAGAGAACCCAAATAAATAAAATTGTAAATGAACGATAAGTTATAACTGACACTACAGAAACACAAAGAATCATAAGAGACTACTACAAAAAATTATACACCAACAAATTGGACAACTAGAAGAAATGGATAAATTCCTAGAAACAAACAATCATCCTAGACTGACCAGGAAGAAATAAAAAATCCGTAACTGGCCAATTATTAGTAATGAAATTGAGTTAGCAATCAAAAAAACTCTAGGAGTAGATGGTTTCATAGGTAAGTTCTATCAAATATTTAAAGAAGAGTTAATACTTATCCTTCTCAAACTATTCCAAAAAAAATAGAAGAGGAAGAAATGCTTCCAAATTTACTCTACAAGGCCAGGATTACCCTTACACCAAAGTCAAAAAAAAAAAAAAAAAAAAAGACACTACAGAAAGAATTACAGGCCAATATCTCTGGTGGACATAGATGTAAAAATCCGTAACAAAATATTAGCAAACAGCATTCAATTCATTTACCATATGATCACATTGGATTTATCCCAGGAATGCAAAGATGAACTCAATACCTGCATATCAATCAACGTGACATACCACATTAACAAAATGAAGATGAAAATGATATGACCATCTCAATAGATGCTGAAAAAGCAATTCACAAAATTCAACATCCATTCATGATAAAAACTCTCAACACAGTGGGTATAGAGGGAACATACCTCAACATAATAAAGGTCATATATGAAAAACTCATAGCCAATGTCATACTCGATGGTGAAAAACTGAGAACATTTCCTCTAAGATCAGGAACAAAAACAAGGATGTCCACTCCCACCACTTTTATTCAACATAGTGCTAAAAGTCCTAGCCACACCAATCACACAAGAAAAAGAAATAAAAGGCATCCAAATAGGTAAGAAATAAAACTGTCACTATTTGCAGATGACATGATAATATATATAGAAAACCCTAAATTACCCACCAAAAATCATTAGAATAAATGATTTCAGTAAAGTTGCAGGACAAAATGAATATACAGAAATCTGTTGCATTCCTATATATTAATAATGAATTAGCAGAGACATTACAAAAACAATCCCATATACAATTGCATTAAAAAGAATAAAATGCCTATGAATAAACTGAACCAAGGAGGTGAAAGACCTGTACTGTGAAAACTGTAAGACACTGATAAAAGAAAATGAAGACAACACAAATAAATGAAAAGATACTCTATGCTCATGGATTGAAAGAATTAATATTGTTAAAATGTCCAGGCCACCCAAAACAATCTATAGATTCAATGCAATCCCAAAATGCCAATGGTATTCTTCACAGAACTAAAACAAACAATCCTAAAGGTGTATGGAACCACAATACCCCAAATAGCCAAAGCACACTTGAGAGAAGAACAAAGCTAAAGAGAGCACAATCCCAGATTTCAAACTATACTACTAAGCTGTAATAACAAAACAGTATAGTACTGACACAATAATAAAGATAGAGATCAATGCAACCAAAGAGAGCCCAGAACTAAACCCATGCTTATATGGTCAACTAGTCTATGACAAAGGAGGCAAGAACATGCAATGGGGAAAAGACAGCCTCTTCAACAAGTAGTACTGGGAAAACTGGACGGCTACATGCAAAAGGATGAAACTGGACCACTTCCTTACACCATACACAAAAATAAACTCAAAATGGATTAAGGACCTGAATGTAAAAACTGAAACCATAAAATTCCCGAGAAAGAAACAAACAAACTATAGGTATGAAACTCTTGGACATCTGTTTAGCAATATTTTTCTGTATCTGTCTCCTCAGTCAAGGGAAACAAAAGCAAAAATAAGACTACTGGGACTACATCAAACTAAATAAAAAGCTTTGCACAATGAAAAGGGAATCCTTGTGCACTGTCGGTGGGAATATAAATGGGTGCAGCCACTATGGCAAACAATATGGAAGTTACTCAAACAATTAAAACAGAATTACCCTATGATCCAGCAATGCCACTTTGGGTATTTACCCCACCCCCCAATGAAAAGATGAATTGTATGTATGTATGTATTTACTTATTTATAAGATTATTTATTAAGAGAGAGAGTGCATGCACAAGCGGGGAGAGGGGCAGAGGGAGAGAGAGAATCCCAAGCAGACTCCCCACCAAGCATGGAGCCTGACGCAGGGCTCAATCCCACAACCCGAGTCAAAATCACGAGTCAGATGTTAACCAACTGAGCCACTCAGGTGCCCCAAAAGATGAATTCTATTTTTATTTTATTTTATTTTATTTTATTTATTTGAGAGAGAGAGAGCAAAAGCACGAGTAGGGTGAGGGTCAGAGGGAGAAGCAGATTCCTCACCGAGCAGGGAGCCCAATGCAGCACTTGATCCCGGGACCCCGGGATCATGACCCATGCCAAAGGCAGACGCTTAACCAGCTGAGCCACATAGGATCCCCAAAAGATGAATTTTAAAAGATATATGCACCCTTATATTTATTGCAACATTTACAATAGTCAAGATATGGAAGAAATCTAAGTGCCCACTGATAGATGAATGGGTAAAGAAGATGTCCTATATATGTACAATGGGATATTCTCAGCCCTAAAAAAGGATAAAATCTTGCCATTTCTGACAACATGGATGGACCTAAAGATATTATATTAAGTGAAATAAGACAGAGAAAGACAAATACCGTATGATTTCACTCACACGTGTAATCTAAAAAACAAAACAAATGAAGAAAAAAAGACTCATAAATCCAGAGAACAAACAAGCAGTTGCAGTAGGGCATGGGGTGGAGGAGGCTGGGCGAGACAGGTGAAGAGGATTAAGGGGTACAAACTCCACTGATAAAATACACAAGTCCTGGGGATGAAAGCACAGCATAGGGATATAGTCAGTAATACTGTACTACTTTTTATGGCGGGGACAGACGGAAACTACAGTTAACGTGGTAAGCAGTTCACAGCGTATATCGTTGTTAAATCGCTATGTCATGTGCCTCAAACTAAGAGAATATTGTATGTCAATTATAATTCAATAAAAAATTTAAAAAAATTCTCAACCTACAAGTGTCAAATGACTCACAATACATAAGAATACACCATATCAAACTTTTAGAAAATGATGGAAACATTCCACAATAATGAGTGTGCAGAAAACAAACAGGCTGGTGATAACTGTGCCAGAAAAATAAGGCTCTGAAACATCAATTTATATACCATCACATCTAAATACAATCTACAGATTAGAAATTATAGCACAATGAGACACAATGTGAATTCTAATACACATGATCTTAATTTTTCCTTTTTATGTTAGCGTTAATCCTATATGATTATTACTTTAAAAAAAACAGTACCAGCAAAAGAAATTTCATTTTCAGGGAAATGCTAAAATTAGTCACTATAAGTATATCCATTAGAAATATTTCATACTCTACATACAGACCCCAGCACTTTTTCATCTCCCATTAAGGAAAAAGTATCACAACATAAGCTATTTTTTAAAAAGCAAAGATAAATTGAACTGTAATAACAGAAGTGACTTTACATTTAAGATTTTTTATTCATCATGCAAAGCTATTGTACTGAACTTTAAAAAAAATAATTTTTTAGACCCAGAATTTGAATAATTAATTTTTTCAAAGTTTATTCATTTTTTTTAGTAATCTCTACACCCAGCATGAGGCTCAAACTCAGGACCCCAAGATCAGGAGCTGCATGCTCTTCTGACTGAGGCAGCCAGGCGCTCCAAATAATTAATTTTTACTTTTAAAAAAACGGTTGGAAATCAAATGCACTCTGAGTTTGGAAGGACGCGGCTGCCGCTCTGCCTGGTGGGGAGGCCCCTTCGCAGAGGCTGCCTCTGTACATCAGCTGACCCAGGCAGGGTCACAGAAGGTTCTGGAACCCAGGAGCCCCGAAGTCTAGCAGCAGCACACAAATTACTCCAACTTTCTCTTTATTCCCCTGGCAACATAATAAACCAAGGGGATAAAAACCATAGGTATATTGGTAATTCATAGCTTTCAACAATTAAAAATCATAAAAGGGCGATGTAAACACCAGCATTTCTTAAACTTGAGCAGCTAATCTTAAAAAAGGAGAGAAATCACAGATCTCCCTCCTGTGTTGACCTAAATTATTTAATGAATAAACAAAAAACTAACGTGCTTACAGCTCTTATTTAGAACCATGTGATCAAAACTACAGAACCACGGAGTTTCAAAATTAGCAACAATTTATGTTGGTGGATTTTGTTATTTTGTTGAAAATAGATAATCAATGCTGGATTTACAGAAAAAAGATAAAGCCCCAGGGCCCATGTGTATATTTTGACTTCAGTTATATGAATGCAGAAAATGCCTGTTTGCACAAGTACATTCCACAAAGCGATGTTAAACACCTCAAGGTTTTCTTATTTAGTTCAAATTCAGACTTCACACTTACCCAAATCTATGACCGCAAACAGATTTTAATCGAATGTTACCTGATTATTACATAAGACCATCTTGCTCTTTGAAATAAAAATTGGAAGGCACCATTACTGAAAACCGCTTTTGTGGGTGTGTTTCAATTGGTACCAAGAAAATAATATCTGATATCTGATATGATATTTTTTTAATTATCACAAACGGAGAAAATTCTACTTTCAACACAGGCACCCACTGCCAAACTGCTGAAGAAAACCATTAACATTGGAAATGGCTCATTGTACCATTTTGAAAACATCTTATCCATAAATTTAGTTAGCACTGCCAATGCCTTCAAAGAAGAATACTAACTACAGCAACACCCCCAAACTTTTATTTTTTTTAGAAGATTTATTTGTTCATTTTAGAGAGGTGGAGGAGCGGCAAAGGGAGAGAACCTCAAGCAGACTCCCTGCTGAGCAGGGAGCCCAGACACAGGACTTGATCCCACGACCCTGAGATCATGACCGGAGCTGAAACCAAGAGCCAGACGCTTAACCAACTGAGCCACCCAGGTGCCCCTGGACTGATGGCATTAAATAAGGTGGTAAATCAGGTGACTCAGAGGTATTACTTTTTAAAGTATGTAATATCAAAATAAAAATAAACAGAATTAAAAGATTCATAATCAAGATCCTATCAAACCCTATACTGAGAAACATTCAACAAGTTTCTTTTTCCTCTCAAGGACAAGGCTTGGAAAGCCTGCCCCACAACATGCGCTGGGGGACCTCTTCCTTGCCCTGCACTGCCCGGAAACACTTGCTGCCCAGTCTTTGCGGACACAGGAGGGCACTGTCCCTGCAGCCATGAAATGAAACAGCAGAACCAAGTACCTCTTCTAAGTAGCAAAACTGGCACAGATCTGACAGACTATGAAGCCTCAGAAAAATGTCAGATTTGAACCTTCAGTGAAACTTGTCATTGAGCTTAACCTGCAAATGATTTCATAAAATCAAGATGCAATGTATATGAGAACTTGGGGAGGTCACAGAAAAATAAAGTATAGAATATCCAGGAATTTAAAAAGCATTCTGAGGCCTATGTACGGTGCCATGTGCTAGAGCATTAGCAAATACAAATTTGTTTGGGCTAAAATATGATAAAAGAACTTTCAAAGTTGTTTTCAAATCTAATTGCAACATAGCAAACATGCTTTAAGAAGTCATCTCCCTAAACAAAAGCCTAAAATGAATCTCTACCTAACGGCACACAAATACGAAGACACTGAAAGCACAACAGAGAGTACTTTTTACGAAAGGAAAATAAAGATCCAGAGATTTCCACCTGATTGTAGGTTCACAGAAGGCACACATTTGCACCGTACCTGGTATCTTTACCTGATCCCCAGGTTCGAACTCCACATCCACCCATGTTGTCTTCGGTTCTGATTGCTCTAGAGAAAGAAAGAATATTCCTTTAAACTGGAAGGTGGTTTCCAGTCAATCTCCGAATCAGAAAAGCTGATCAGAAAAGCTGTCCCAGGATCAGCTCCCTCAGGAATAAGAGTACACTATATAAAGTCAACTAAATATTAACACATAACAGATTTGTACCATGTATTACCAAGACGATAAAGCGAAAACAGCAGTTCCAGAGGAACTGATATTTTCTCATTCCCACCATACCTCTCAAAATCTCGTTTCCCTCTCTGGTCAAAACCGTCGAAAGCTCTGTTCCCGGGGCCGCCTCTGCCTCGGCTTCTCATGGCCCCTCTTGGGCCTCCACGGCCTCTCAGGGGTCTGTCTCGATCAAACCTGTCAATGGGTCTAGAAAGAGACAGGTATAATCAAAAGTGGTGAACTGCATGAAAGGGCTAAGAAGACTTTTTCAGAAAAAAAATTCTAGAAGGACACGATGGCTGAAATATACTGGAAAGAACAGTGGCTTGAAAAATAAAGTAATGGTTAACATTTACCGAATACTACTTACTACCTGAAGCACTGTTCTGAGCACGTCACATACAGAAATTAATTCTCATAAACAGAACTACAGTATACAACTATCGTCCTCAAATCAGGAAACAAGAGGCACAAACGAGGTAGGTAACTTGCCCAAGGTCATACAGCTGCTAGTGAGGATGCCAGACGAGAGAAGGAGGTCCTGGGCAGGTCTTACTGTGGAGGGATATCCCTTTCTCTGGATCCGGTTTCCTCATTTATAAAATGAGGTTAGATAAACTCCAAGATTCATCCCAGCTCTAATATTCAATATTTAGGTTAAATTTGGAATGTTTTGTATAACAGAAATAATTTAACTTCAAATTATGCCCCCTCCCAAACACAACTAGTCAGTGAGTGACACTTGGGGCTGAAAACATTAACCTGCAACCAACTCAATTCTACCCCCACTGCCCTACACAAACTTCCAAAGACAGCTGAAGCTCCTTGTTGTTAAAGCCAACAGCAACTTTTGTCTTTATGTCATTTGACCCCTTTTCATCATTGGACACCGCTGACCGTTAATTTTCCTCTGACCTCTCTGGCTTCTCTTTCCCAGCCTGTCCTTAAATTATTTTTGTAATAGGTCATACTGAAACAGGGTACAAAATTCACAAGCTATTCCCCTTGCTCCTTAGCTACCCAATTCCACTTCTCACAGGTAGGCACATCCAGAGTCACATAAAGGGACCAGTTCTATACCTTGCCTCTTTCATCTCACTAGTCTTGGTGCTCCACACACAGATGCCTGCCTTGTTCTTCTGGGTACCTGACTATCCTTACGTGTACCTGCATTCCTGACTTCCTATTTCTGGCACATATTGTCCTCATCTCTACGCTACTGCTGTGTGACCTTCATTCATGTGACCCTGCGTCTCCCACTGGGGTCTCTGATTCCAGGCCACAAAGCCAGTAACTTCCTGGACATACCCTCTGTCCATGCCCTGGCCCTGCAGATACGTGACCAACATTGACCCCCTTGCTCCTCCTATGGTCCCCAACTCACAGCACGAAAGTACCTAAGCCAAGAACCAGGTTGTCTTCAACAGTCTTCCCTTCATCCCCTGCCACATCTGCTGGCCCAAGGCCTGACCACCCACCCACTTCTCACACCCATTCTTGGCCACGTCTCAAGTCACTGTCATTTTTTTATGAGGACTTGAAGCTACTGCAGGAAGGACCACATCTTTTTCATCATTACAACCTTACTTGAATAAGATAAATTATATTTTTTAATTTGTCAAGGCTTTAAAAAACATTTAAAATCATGACAAATCACTTCCTGAACCCTAGTGGCATTAGTAGCTCAAGCACCAAAACCAGAGATATGTTCCAGTCTACTGTTATGACTGAAAATGTTACAATAAAAAGCTACTATATGAGATAGTGGGTAAAAAGATACAAAACTCACTATTCTCTTATTCAAAAAGGTTAAAAAAAATACAGAATCACCAATCATTAACTTTATGCAAGGCTCTTACAAGAAACATCATCCTAAATAAATTCTCTAGGTTGGCTTTTCTGCCTCCCATCTCCTCCACCCCGACCAAAACAAAATTTGTATTTTTTTTTTTTTATTTTAGAGAGAGAGAAAAAGAATGTGCGCACGTGGCACGGAAGGGCAGAGGGAAAGGGAGAGAATCTTAAGCAGACTCCCCACTGAGCGTGGAACCCACGCAGGACTTGATCTCACCACCCTGAGATCATGACCTGAGCCGAAATCAAGAGTCAGCTGCTTAATGGACTGAGGCACCCAGGCATCCCAAAACAAAATTTTTAAATAGAAATTGTCATAAAATTGATTACATGTTGATAAATATCTGAAGCAGAGTTCTAAAACAATGACAAAATTAAAGTAACAGTAAGTTGTTTTTTTTTTTTTGTTTTTTTTTTTATTTGAGAGAGACAGAATGAGAGATAGAGAGCACCAGAGGGAAGAGGGTCAGAGGGAGAAGCAGACTCCCTGCCGAGCAAGAAGCCTGATGCAGGACTCGATCCTGGGACTCCAGGATCATGACCTGAGCCGAAGGCAGTCACTTAACCGACTGAGCCACCCAGGCGCCCAAAGGAACAATAAGTTCTTAACAAGGGAGTTGGACAGGGCCATAAAAGAAAAAAAATGTACTTAAATATTGAGAGGAAATGAAACACCAAAACATACATGGAAAATAATGCCAACAGTCAAAATCAGGTCTAAATTTACATGAAATCTACATCAGATACCAATAAAATACAAAGTCCTTTAAAATATAATAGTGATTGAAACTGACCCTAAAATAGCCCTGTGTGTTCCGGTTTATTTTAATCCCTTGAACCAGTTTTTTCTTTACTCCACAGATTACCCATACCCCTACCCCCAATTAAATATATTCTCAATCACTTCTTTATAATCCCTTGATTATAAAATATATCCTCTTTGTGCTTGTGTTGGCAGCACATATACTAAGAGGTCGAACAATAAAACATATCTTTTTTTTTTTTTTTTACAGGTTAGTGAGCATTGAGAAATCCTGTACTCTATTTAGGAAGCTTGATTTGTGTTGTACTCACAAGCAAAAGCAAGGAAAATAACATTTCAGCCAAGCACCGTGCTTTACATCCCTGTAATCTACTCTCTGACAACAATCCTCATAAGCAGATACAAGCACCTGTTTTACAGGTAAAGGGAATGAAGTTCATGGAGGGGAAAGTGAGGGGTTAGTGTCTACTGGGTACAAAGTTTCACTCTGGAAAGATAAAAATGTTCTGGAGAAAGGTGGTGGTGATGGTTGTACAACAGTGTGAATGTATTTAATGCCCTGCACTGCCATACATTTATAAGTGGTTAAAATGGTAAATGTTATGCTATATATATTTTATCCCAATTTTTTAAAATGCTTCCTTATGAGAGGAAAAAAAAACAAAACAAAAACATCTGAGTAAGTGATTCTTTCAGAACCGGAACAGACTTTGAATGACCAGCAGTAAACTTCAGGAAGAGCCAAAGAGTCAAAATAATCCAGACAGAAGCAGACTAATTTCCTAATAGCCTATGTTCAAAGAGTTCACTGAAGTTCATTATTTGGAGCCTAAAGAAAAATTCCTCCGGCATTAAAAACAGTAGTGGCGCCCCCCCCCGCCCCACCATATGCAAGCTACCTGGCTGATCTCTGCACCTGAGCCACATGGACAGCTAATCCCAGCACCATTTCTGACACTGCTTCCATGTGAAAATACGTGTTCTGCCTTAGTGGAATAAAAATCCACATGAGCCGGCTGTGACCAGAGTACCCATCACTGCAACTCTGGGTCTTTGTTTCCCCATTCATAAACATGGAGAGGACTGAATTAGATATACTCTGTTATGATTATCATGATTCTAGGGGCGTCTTTGTGGCTCAGTCGATTAAGCAGCCGACTCGACTTCAGCTCAGGTCACGATCTCAGGGCTGTGAACGGAGCCTGCGTCTGAGACTCTACAGTGGGCATGGAGCCTGCTTAAGATCCTCTTTCTCCCTGTCCCTCTGCACCATCCTCTGTGCGTGCACACTCTCTCTCTTAAAAAAAAAAAAAAAATTATCAGGATTCTATAATTCTGTCCAATAAACATGTATAGGTATCATAGAAAACGCATATCATGACTTTTCACTATCAAATAAGCAAAGAAGAAAGTTCAGTTTATTATATTCAAACCTGGAGAAAGAGCTATGAGAAATGCTCTTATAGATTGTTAGTGATAGAGTAAATGGGCAGGTTGCTAGGATAGTGATTGGGTCACTATGTATCAAAAGATCCCCCCCTTACCCTAATTTGTTTTCACACTCTATGTACCCATCCAAACTTGCACTAAAGCACAAACTGGGTCTTAGGATACACGACACCCAGTTGAGGACCACTGCTTTATGGTTCCCACTTCTAGAACTCCCATCTAGGAAAGGTCCAACCCTAAGGGAATGATTACATTGTACTGCATCCAAACAACACATCATAATAGAACCATAAAAAAATGTTTACCAAACATTGTTAAGGAAATGGAAAACACTTCTGCCATATCAAGTGGAACTGAAAGCATATAAAGGACTCAGTACATATGTGTTATCATCTTAATATTTAAGTGTATCTATGTATAAGAAAAAAAGGAAAAAATCAGGCCAGTGTTAAGTATTAGGTGGTAAGATAAGTAGTTTTAATTTTCTTTATAATTGCATGCATTTTCTAATGGTCAAATTGCCTTATGGATCTTTATTAATAGGAGAGTACTTTTTAAGAAATTAAGGAAAATAACTTTTCTGATAGTACATGACTTATCAAAAATAATTTCAAATTTCCTTGAAGGTAAAAATTACCTACATATACCTAATGTAATACATGAGAAGGACACGAGACATCACTTCTGTGGTATTCCTGCCAAAGTGCATGATATCATTCCATGAAGAAACATCAGACAAACTCAAATTCTGGGCTGTCCTACAAAATAACTGGCCCACACTCTTCCAAAATGTCAAAATCACAAAAGATAAAGGAAGACTAAGGAGCTGTTCTACATTAAAGACAACTAAGTGCAATGCACATTCCTGGACTGCATCCTGAACCAGGCATTTTTTTTTCTTTTGCTAAAAGGGATTAGGACAACTGGTGAAATGTGAGTACCCTGTAGATTACACGATTTAGAGGATTAGATAACAGAATTGTATCAGTGTTAATGAGTTGGATAACTGTACCATGTTTTTAGGAAATACATTTAAAGTATTTAGGAATAAAGAGATATTTCTGTACCTTACTCTTAAATGTCAAAGAAAAAAGGTGTGTGTGTGTGTGTGTGCGTGCACGTGGGTGTAAAGGAAGGGAAGGAGGGAGGTATGTTAACACTTGGGGAATCTGGGTGGGGATATACAGGAATTCTTTGTCTAAGTCTTGCAACTTTCTATAAATCTGAAATTATTTTTAAAGAAAAAAGAAAAATCCCAACATAATCCCATATCCCACCCTATCCCCACCCTTATATACATGTATGATTTCACTTAATAGGCACTGTTTTGTGTTAACATATACTCACCCTTTTTAAAGACTCATTTTGCTACTTAAAAAAGCTGGAAACATGAGTTTGTGCTTTTGAGCTATAATTTCCTTATCTCCACAGAATAAATCCCTGAAGTGAGAAAAAAAAAATACACATATGCTTCCCCAAATAAATAGCTCTGATCCAGAAGGCTTTTTGTAAGCAAGCAGACTATGGCCATTACACAGCAAAATTGAAGTAATCACCAAAAATAGCAGAATTAAGCCTTTCTCTTCCCTCACCCTCCAACATAGCGGCAGATACAGCATCTTGATGTTCTGACCATATAACTTCTAGGGAGCAGATCTGTTGAAGTCACCGCCTGCCTCTGCCCTCCCAGACTGAGCTACTCTGCTGGACTTCTGCACTTTTGGGGAGGGTGGGGGTGGTTAATGAACATGGTTTTACAAAGCCATGTCCTTTGGTTAACTTGTAGCCAGGATCCTAAGTGGAACTGGTAGTCAAGAAGTTGAAAGACTTTGGGAATAATGGCTCCCTTGACATGAAACTACTGACAGCTGATAGTGTCAACACACACTGTTCTAGTCTCCCTCAGCCTTTTCTACCTATTTTCCTTCAAATGTGATTCACAAGTTGTTTGTTTAATCTAAACTCAGTGTTGTGCAGGTTGAATTATTAAACAAAAACTTGAGGCAGCAGGCACCTGTCATGCTGGTACCAAGCAGGAGACCCCGAGAACTGCTCTCCATGCACAGGTAGCCCACCCACTGCCCCATCACTCAGGAGTGGTGTCCAGCCGCACCAGCCTGAGACCACCTTCCAGTTCAGAGCACTTTCTAGAGGAAGGTATGGGAGCCAGAAATTGGTGTCACACACTGTATCAGTTCTTCTTAAAATGTCATCATGAAAGCCAATTGGCCTAACCATGGGGCCAGGAACTTGTTTAAATTTGTTAGTAGTCTAATGGACTCTGAGAAACAAACTGAGGGTTCTGGAGGGGAGGAGGTGGGGGGATGGGTTAGCCTGGTGATGCGTATTAAAGAGGGCACGTTCTGCATTGAGCACTGGGTGTTATGCACAAACAATGAATCATGGAACACTACATCAAAAACTAATGATGTAATGTATGGTGATTAACATAATAAAAAAATAAATAAATAATTTGTTAGTAGTCTAAATTAGTAATGTTAAGTCAAAACCATAATTATATCCCAAGCCTAAACTGCAAAAGAAAATTTAACCAGTTTAACAGACTCCTGTCTAGTTTTTTACGGGAGTGCTTTGTGCAGTTATACCAATAAATAATTCATTTTTCACCATATAATCATTTCCCTCCTGTGTCACCTAAAGTAACTGCCAACTTCAATTGGCAAAATATTCCCAGGACTGGCACCATGAAAAGGTAGCAGTTCTCTTAAAACCCTCTGGCTCCCCCCCCACTCCTGGTCAAGGTCTTCAGTACCTACTTTTCATCTGTGAACTTCTCAGGTGTAAAGTCCGCCTGTCTCTCAGTCTCATAGGGTCGATACTCCCTGTAGGATCTGCGCTCTGCTCGGTCAAGTGTCACCTCCGTCCCCCGGCTGTCATTCCATCCCTGTTGCTCCCCTCTTCTGGGAGCTCGCCTCTGGCCTGCCAGGGACAAATCAGAAGGGACAGCTGGGACACCAGGTCCATGACAGCATGTTTACAGAGAGTTTTAAATTCCACTTTTCTGGAAGTCAAAGTCATAGGAAAATATGGGAAGTTCAGAAACATTCAGAGAAGAAAAAAGTTGTGGATACTGGCAGGGCCCAGAGTCAACTACAATTGACCCTCGAGCAACACAGGTTTGAAGTGCGTGGCCCCACGCAGGCCTGGATTTTTTTAGATACAGTACAGTGGTGTCAATGTATTGTCTTCTCTAGCTTATCTGCTGTAAGAATACAATACATAATACATACACAAAATACACACTAACTGACTGTTGTTGGTAAGGCTTCCAGGGAACAGTAGGCTATTAGTAGTTAAGTTTTTGGGATGTCAAAAGTTGTATGTGGATTTTTACCTGCACGGGAGGTTGGTGCCCCTAATCCCCACCAAGTTGGTTGAGGGTCAACTGTACTTCCTAATAAAACTTTTAAGATACTTATGTTCTCTTTCTCTTTTGTCCTAGGAAATATAAACTATACCAACTAACGTATAATGACAGGTATCTCACAGAGTGTGAGAGCTCTGGATAGACACATTTGCTAAACTAACTACTTGTGACAAAAGCAACTTTATTAAAACATGGTAGTTATGCTCCATACAGAAAAATTAAAGGATAAACACTCTGTATTTCAAATTGCACTTTAGATAAACTATGGTTTATCATTGGCTACTAAGGTTTTCATTTCTAAATAGTCGTACTGTTTATCTTTTTTTGCTTGAAAACAGATTTTCCTGCTCTCGTGCTCTTTGTTGGGTTTTGTGCATTTATGATCATACTTCTCAATATGAGCCCAAGCTGCTATTTGCCAACTCATACAAGGACCGGTCGGCACTCGAAGGGACATCTCTCATTTGCAGAGAGACCAGCACACAGCCATGGCCACTACAGGCTTCAATCTCTCCCTCTCTCTCTCACTTTACTCCTCTCTAGTTTTGATGCTTTAAAAATTCTTAGATTCCATGTCTGAAGGCAGCTAATACTTGGTAAATACACTGTGAAGAAATCTGTCGCCTCTTAAATCATCTCCCAAAAATGTATTTATTTTTCTTTATATGCATTTAAAAGGTCTCCATCTCAAACAGGATGTGCTATTTTTATTATAGCAGCTTCGTTTTTCCTTGGTATAGCTTACCCTTCACATTGGTTGTATGGCTATAAAAATATTAAATGTATCTGAGTGAATGGGTATTTTTTAAATTCCTAGATTCCTCTCTTACTTAGACAACACATGACTCTTAAGGAATATATGTTTATATTTTTGTTTTCCTACTGCATACTTCCTATCTGAACTTTTTACTGGGCACATGTAAATATTAACACAGTTCCAATACCTTACTGATTCCATTTTAAAACAAAAATCAAGTCTGTGACACCACTAACATAAAATTGTGCAATTTATTACTTGTTAGTTAACATAAACTATTTTTTTCAAATGTGAAAAGTTACACAATAAATCTAAGTTCAATCTTAATGTCCCATAGCCTAGAGACGCTTAAATCCAGTTTGCATCCTGTACTGATGCCACAATCTAGCTTATGACATGTTTGGGACATGAGAAAGATGTTGTCATAAATAAAGTTTCTCTTGCAGAAACAAAAGAGAGACTGACACTTGTCCCAGAAGTATGCAATGCCAAATCTGAGGGCATGTATATTACTAATAGAGATCCAATTTGAAATGTTAGGTAGAAAATGTTATTATGAAAGTTAATTATCTAACAAGTTGAAAACTACAACAGACTATGAAATCAGCTAATATGCCAACAGCAACAATACTTTTCAGTACTTTTCCCTCAATGTAAAAAGTTATTTTAATGCAGCTTCAAATTTCCTATTTATAACCTATTTTTAAAAATCTTAATATTTCCACTCAGCTACAGAATTATTTAGGAGCTATCGCATCTTTTTGCTTCCTCAAGGTTATTTTTTTAAATTGTATCAATTAAATTTGGAATTCACCATTCAAAACTTAAAATGACATTTACTGCATACTTTGTATTAAAACGTCTTCCAAAGTTTTGGTGTACAAATTAAAAACCATTAAATACAACTGGCTACTTATTAGAATTATAAATACAATGCAAACATTTCATTCTCTCCCCAAAACCCAAACAAAGATAAAAGGGGTCCAGTTTTTTCCCCACAATTTAGTGCTAAGAGATCAAGACTGCAACTGAACCTAGTTTGTTTCTGTGCTGGGTCAGCAGCTCCAAGCAGATAATGCAAACACTGAATTCCTCTAGCCCTTTCCAATAAAAGCCTGGCACATGCTGTCTGATCACTGATCTAAACCCAAGCCCGTATGAAGGGACAGAATACAATAAAATTTACAGCGAGATTTCCGACAAAATAAAGTTGAGCTTTGACTCAAAGACAATAGTTCTGAAAGGTTAGGAAAAGCGAAGCTGAAATAGCCTCTATGGATTTCAAGAATGAATTTCTCAAACAAGGCTCATCCAAGGATCTATATATGTTGTTAAATAGTGAAGGGCATTAAAAACCTGTTTCTATGGGACAATCTTATGATTTCCACAACCACACCCAAAAATGTTCCCAATAAATGTCAAACATGTTTTGACTTTGATTCTTGTCCACACTGAGCATTCACTCTTATAATATTCTAACTAAATTAAAAATTTTGAATGTTAGAAAAGTACAATCCATATCAATTAGGGCTACAAAATCTTTAGAGAGTAGCTCTCTATAAATTTAGTACAGTAACTACATGAATGGAAATTAATGAGTTGTTTGCTCCTGAAATAACACGTCTGAAAAAGAACTGACAAATGACAAAATTGCCATTTTAACTAAAAAATTCACAAAAGATCTTTAATATAGATCTAGATGTAAAAGCCAGATCATCTGGATCATGAACAATTGACAGAAAAATGTTATAAACCCACTAGTTACAATGCTAAGTGAAAGCAGGTTGTAACTCAGTTTATATACCATTTAAATTTAGGAAAAAAGAAATAGCTCTGTAGGTACATAAATGCAAGGTGTTAACAAGTAAGAAAAATAGGAGATTTTTACTTTATACATTTTGGAATTGTTCAAAACTCTAATAATAAAAATGCATGATTTTTAATATTAAAAAGGTTAGCACTGAACGCAGTTTCATACTCTTCTAAAGGATACATTATTTTCATTTGTTAAAAAGTAAAGGGAGAGGAAAAGCTTAGGCTTCCTCAGTTCTTTCATTACTATATTTATCTAAATGTATGAGAAAAACGAGAACATAACACAAAATGTACAATATATCTCGTCTCATTCACCGTTTAAATAGGCTCATAAACGTACTGGCCTACCAGCATGGGGTTTTCAGATATCCAGTAGCATTTAAAATAACTTTCAACATCTTTATTACAGTAACTTTTCTCATTCTCTAGTGATACTGTTGGACTGAAGTTTTCACAGATAAAGGTAAACATTACCTAGCTGCACCAAAGTCACTTAAGTCAGAAGTTGTAATCTCAGGGCTGGGAAGCACAGTTGTAATCAAGGAACAAGCCAGCAAAGCCGAGTTGAATACAATGGCTCGAGTGATCGAACGACACATCTTAATCTTAACACTCTTTTAAAACAAACCCTAGGACCACTGCCTTATTTTAGGAAAACACTGGAAACACAGGTGGAGTCTTGCAGACTATGAACTGATGCAGTTCAGGTGATAAACGACTCTTAAGCACCCTCCCTGGCTAGATGCGGACAGGGGTATCTCGCTAAGCAGGGTGTGGGGAACTTTGAATATTCTTGTTGAAAAGGTTAAAGGTTAAAAACGCTTTTCTTAAAGCAGCCTGAGTTAATGACAAGTTACACATCCCAACGACACTACATGCTGTACTGAAAAATGATGCGAGCTGGCTGCTGGAAGCCACCGTAAAGGGATGGGGTGTACGGTGACGGGGTGAAGTTACGGAGCCTGGAAAGAGCCGGGGACCCCGCGTCCGCCCCCGCCGCATTCTGCTCGCGGCCCTGACGTCACAGCCCGCCCCCGCGGTCACCCAGGCCTTCGCTCCATCACAGAGGCCTGAGCCCCTCACCCCCGCCATTCTTCACACACCCAGGGCTCTCGCCACCACTCCCCGCGGCCGGGTGCGCCCTCCTTCCTCACTCTCCCCCCACCACGCTTCTCTTTTTTCCTCCCGACCCGAATCTTGCAGTGGTTGGGCAGGAGGATGGAGCCGGTCCCTGCTAGCTCTAGATTTGAGCTCCCCGGGGTAGCGACCCCAGTTATCCCCGCCACACACACCACCCCAGCAGTATACTTCAACTTTGCCCAACTTGTAAAGGCTCAGTTCCAGGATTGCGAGACCCTTACTCCACGCCCGCACTCCCCCCACCCCCACAAGTGGCTGGGAAAGGCCAGAAGGGGCGTGACACCTCCCTCCCGTCCTCTTTTTCTGTCTTCCTCGGCCACAAGGACCCTCAGCTCAACCCAAGCCTTCCCAGAGGCCCCTTCCGTTTCTGGATCTGGACGCCCCTGACCCCAGTCTCGCAGTGGGGGCGGGGGCGTCGAGAGGAGGCCGAGGAGGGGTGACCTCCGTGACCCCATTCTCCTTCCCCTCCTGCCCACCGCGCCCACCGGGGGTGCCCAGGTGCCGGGCGGGGCACGCGTACCGGGTGGTAGCTGGCCGCCCCCGGGGCTGTCCGGCTGCTGCGCGCCGGGGGCCGGGAGGCTCTTGCGCTCCTTCTGGGACTCCCTCCGGCCGCCGCCCGCGCCAGGTCTGTGGCCCGAGGCCCCGGCCGGACTCCGGCCGCCGCGGTTGCCGGCCCCGGCCGCCGCCGCCTCGTCGCGCCTCTTGCGCTGCAGCTGCTGCTGGCGCCGGTGCTCGGCCTCGCGCAGGATGTCGAACGGGTCCGACTCGTCGTCCAGCAGCTGGTGGAAGCGGTTGGCCACGACGCAGCCGAAACTCTCTTGCATCACGGCGCCTGCGGCGGCCGCGGCCACGGGACTACCCAGAGCGCCCTTCATGCCCCGCGGCCACTGCGGGCCCGCCGCTAGCAGCCCACGCGAGCGAGTCTCAGCAAAGCCGGCGGCGAGGACCCATTCCGCCCGCCGCTACCTCCCACCCTGCCCTGCCGGATCCAGTCCCGCCCGGCGCCCGCCCCCGCGCCACCGCCCCCGCTGCCCGCCCAGGCCCCGCCCGACAGCCAATCAGTGCACGCAGACTCGCCCCCTTTCCAAGCCGGCATCCCTGGAAGCCCAATCAACGGCGGGCTGCTCTCACGTCACGCGACCTCTATGCCCCTCCCCCCGACTCAGCAGAAAGGGGCGGGGCACAAGGGGCGGAGCTACTGGGAGGAGCAACGAGTCTTGTAGTCAGTCCAGGCAGCTCGCCTGTGCGGGTGGGTCACGGCCATTATTTGTGTTCTTTCTGGGACTGGGTCTGTATTCATTATGGGCCACTCTTCTTTGAAGTTTATATATTCATCTAGCCATTCAACTACGTATTGAACACTTATGTGCCAAGCATTATGTCGTCAGAGATACTAGATCCGTGTTTTCGTGGATCTTAGTCTATAGACAGAAAACTGCCCTAAACGAAAGGCACAGACTTTTTTACGCGCCCGAAGCAAAGGGACCTGACCTAATTAGGAGACCTGGAAAGGCTTTCCCTCGGAAGTGACGGTTAAACTGAGATACGAGGGATGACAGGGGCAGGAGCAACCGCAAGTACAGATGTCTTGAAGAGAGATGCAGCACAACCCATTGAAACTCAAAGGAAACCATTGTAACTGAATTGCAAAGAGCTGGGGGAGACCCTCACTTTGGTCTTTATCCTAGGAGCAGTGGGAAGCAAATTTTAAGCCTAAGCATGTATTTAAAAAGGCCAAAAGGCCACTCTAGCTGAAATGTGAAGGACTAGGTTGAAGGCAGGTCAGAATGGATGCAACGAGACCAAGCAAAAGATTGTTGCCGAGCTCCAGGGGAAGAGTTGATGCATGTGCCTTGAATTAGAATGGCGGCCGTGGAGGTGAAAAGACTAGTAGATTCAAGAGCTATTTTGGAGGTTATCATAACAGGACTTGGTGATGCACTAGATAGGGGTGTTGAGGAAAAAGAAGAGGGTATGATGACTCCTATATTTCTGGCTTCTACAGCTGGAATGGTGGTGCATTCCAAAGAAATAGAGCACTGGAAGAGACCATTTTGATCAGAATCATGAATTCAGTTTTGGACATGTTGAGGTTTTGTTTCATTTGTTTGTTTGTTTTGTTTTCAATTGAGGCCTGGAGCTGAGAGAGCTCTGAACTGGACAATCCTCCAGGAAGTTGTGCTGGCACCTGGCTGCCTATCCCATAGCCCTTCCTTTTCCTCTTACATTTTCCCAGAACCTGTATTTTGTTAGGGCATCAGGTGGCTGTACAGCCCAGGGGAAGCTGGGCCCCCTTCCAGCCTCAAACTTGATTAATCTTAAATCATGCACTGTAATTCCATACTCTTGCCAATGACTGGTGTAGGAATAGGCTCTTGGTGCAGATCTTCTCTGAGGGAAGTATTCTGGAGGACTCCTGAGAACATTTTTCTTATATCTAAAAACAGGTTGAGAAGGGATCTACCGTTTCCCACCTCTATTCTTTGCTCCTTGTTATGTGAAGAGGACATAACGCCTAGAGTTGCTGTCCCTTATTGTGACTATGAGAATGGCAGAGCAGAAGGATGAAGAAAACCTAATTCCTTGGTTATCCCACTGGGGAAACTCCCAACTCAGACTTATTATGTAAGATGATAAATAACATTATTATTTAATCTACTCTTGGTTGTATTTGTCTGTTGATTCAAAAGCATCCTGTTAGAGCATCTTGCTCAGGTGTGTGATCACCAGCTTTTGTTTTCCTTTAATAGCAAATGCAAAAGGAACTCTTTACCTTGACTGCTGCCAGGTTTGTGTTTTACTCACTTATTCAATTTTCTGTCATTCCCAAGGAGGACAGGGATGATGCCTGTCTTTCACTGCATTCTTATTCATTGCAATTTATATTCCCAGTGCTTAGCATTCTAGGTAGTTGTATGGTAGGTCCTCAGTAAGTATTTGTTGAATGACTGAAGAGTTTAAGATTTTAAGGTATTTAAGATATTTAAGCAGAGGTTTATGATCAAAAGCTTATTCTATTTACCCAAAAGAATTGAGAGCAGGTGTTCAAACAAAAACTTGTACATGAATGTTCAGAGCAGTACTACTCACAATAGCCAAAAGGTGGAAACAATCCAAATGCACAATAGTGCACTCGGTGAACTTTCGGAGTCATTGGCCCTATGGGTTGGGGTGGCCTGAGCCAGGGGTCCTGTGCCAACATGCTTCAAAGCCTTGTTAAAGATGTTTGGGTCCCCATGAAGCCCTACTATACCCAGGTTTACCAGGAGATTTGGGTAGGAATGGGGTTGATGGGTTTCATTGTTTATAAAATCAGGAGTACTGTTAAAAGAAGTAAAGCTTTGAAAGCTTCAAGTCCTGCACCTGCTCATGGTCATCATAAACCAGCTTTACATGGGAATACACATCAGATGGAATGTCAGTTTGGCTGTAAATTTCAGCAACCTCTGTTAAATGGGAACATGGAGCATCGGGTACACTTGTAGACATGTTGTTTCCTTTGTGGCATGAGTAAATGTACCTGTGATGTGCAAAAAAAAAAAATGTCTACAATAGTACACTTGTGGACATGTTGTTTCCTTTGTGGCATGAGTAATGTACCTGTGATGTGCAAAAAAAAAAAAAATGCCTACAATAGTAAATTTTATGTGTATCTTACCACAAAAAAAAAAAAAGCATATATTTTGGAGTTAGACCAAATATGAATCCTGGCTCTGCCACTAATTCATTTTGTGACCTTGGAAATGTTCTTTATTTCTATGTCTCAGTTTTCTCATCTGTAAAATGGAAAAAAATAATGATACCTACTTCAGGGGATTATTGTGAAAACTGGGTCAGATAACCCATAGGAGGTGTTCAGTACCATGCTTGGCACAAAGTAAGTGGTCAGCAAAAGTCATTATCAACATTATTAGTATCATCATCATTTTGAATCAGACTTAAGACTAGGTAGACTCATAATGAGACCTCATCATTATGAGGTGGATGAAATTTCCAAAGATTCTTCATGCAACATCACCACATGCACCAGAGACCATATATGAGAAGCACTGCTTCAAGCCAGAGTTGTCTCTGGTATCTTTAAGCTGTCCATCACCAAGCAACAACACCAAACAACCATTACCACATGAGAGAGGGCCTGTCATCTTCCTACTCAACATCTGGAAACAGCCCACACCCCCACTTCCTTTCCAACATAGCCAATCACCGCAGGTTCTTAAGGTATGCCCTGTGAGCACTGCATCCTAATTTCCAAATCATAACTGCCTAAAACAGTTGTAAGTCAACCAATCCTGGGTGCTTCAAGTTTAGGAACACCTTTAGAACCACTGAAATAGAGATGAGTAGCCTCTAGCTGGCATTTAGCTAGCCATGGGTTTCCTTTGGGGCTATTGATTACCATAGAATTTACTGATGGTAACCTATTAAGCAGCCTCACATTTTCCCCTATTTTTCTGCGGGAGATTACATCCTTAAATGCATTCCTGAAATACAACTCTACCACATTAGCATGAGTTATTTGTAACGTTGTGTTTAATGTGGTCAATTTAATAGACTGATATTTTTAATAATCTAAGATATAAAAACCATCTTTAGTAATTATAATACCAAACAGAAAACACACACAACACACACACACACACACACACAGATAACTTAGAAAATAAAGCATACCAAAAAAGCAGTGGGGAGTGGATGCTGAATAACACCACCAGCATTTCCATAGCAGTCATTTATCAGCACCAGTGGAAATGCAGTAAAATTTAACTACTTACAAATGTTAATTACCTTGAGTTACTTAATATACAAATTCCATTAGGAATAGTAAAATACAATACACTAAAATCTTCCAGATTGACTTGAAATTCACAGAAAGATCAGAATTTAAAAACATGTAGCTGTATTACTGTTAGATATATGCAGGGAGCAATGCTTAAGTGATCCAGGCACAGGGGCCAGTCAAGCTGTAAGGGATTTGAGTTTTTGTGAATCACCAATGAGTTGCATTCTATATATTCTGTTTTGCCACTGGATTACTGCTACCCGTTTGCCTACATTTTCTCCTCTATAAAATTAGGATGATTATAATCAGTCCTATGTTCCTCATATGGTTGATGGGAAATAAATCCAAAGACGTAAATTGAAAAGGGTAAAAAATATTATATTATTTTACAATTGTTTCTACTTGCTTATATATGTAAGAACAAACATATTTTTCTTAACTCTAAGAGGATCTTATATTTTTCATGTCAGTTGAGTCAGTTGTGATAAGATCAATAAAGTTATAGTTCCTGATCTAGTTGTTACAAGATTGGTAAGTGAATTTAAATTCAGTTTCCCCCAGGAAATGAATAAAGCAAGTATGTAGTCTCAAAGTTAGGGGTTGTAGAACCAGAAACCAATAATAATCAGGATGCGACAAGAGAATATTTTGCAAGCCAAAGTCCATTCATAATGACCAGATACAGAATATTTAAATCCAGAAAGGACCTTACCCAACCTACTAATATTTGTAGTCTTGGTATCATTGAGGTTCTGTCCAGCTTTTTTTCTTATGGCAAGATGTCACTGGCTAGCACAGTTGTTTGTATCCTCAGACCACTGTGCTAATGGAATAGAATTTATTCTAAGTTCCTACCATTAAAATCTTGATCTTTGTTGAAACTTTAATCAAAGCTAAATAAAATAATTCAGAATTCAGAACTTTTTAGTTCCACATTTATTCAGGAATCCCAGAATTGAATCGCTGGCCTGTCTTTGGTGGTTTGTACACCTTTGAGCCAGTTGCTGTAGTAAAGGGCATTTAATTCTCTCATCGGCCTGGCCTGGGTCACAAGGCCAAGCTGGAGTCTGATTGTAGTCAGCCCCCCTGAAC